CAGAAGCCCTGAAAAGTGTCTGCAGCTGGAGTCTTTGGAGAAGATCGCTTTAAACAGCCGAAAGTGTCTGCAGATTGCTATTCGAGAGTGCGATACAAAAAACATCTCGGCCGGACATTTTTATTGCAGGTAAGAAACCTGATAATAGTCCCTGTTGGTGTATTGAAGATATGAAACTATATTTTGTAGACTGGGACTGATCCGGGTGGTTATGATTTTGGTTGTAACTAGGTCACTAGACACTCAAGAATTGGCGTTGTGTGCCAATTCAGGACCAATCCCTCCGTGAGACGTGGACAGCGGCCACTGAGATCTACTATTACACTGTTCAGATGCAATACAAAGAGCACAAAATTTCATATATCGCAAGGGCCTACGAAAGACTTAAGGGCAACATCACCGAAATCACATCCCAACCGAAGCGGGTCAGAACCATCATAAACACGGTTCAAACAAAATAATACACCTACGAGCATGTGGTAGATTCAGCACACACTTCCCGATGACTCGGAACGGCCGTAGACCGGTTAAGCGGCGATCCCGTGCACCGAGGGCAAAGCGTAGAACCAGCCTAAATCGGGCACGGATAATTGCGGGGGCTCGTCCACTAGCTGATAATTGTTTGTAAGAGTGTGCAGAAGGCAGGGATATATTTGCAGGGAAACATACAGCCGTTAATCCTAGGTCCCAGTCCCACCACCATTGTCAATTATGCTGAATTGAGCGTGCGCACCGGCCATCGGTATTGCGAACCATGTAGCTCAGGCAGTGGTGGATGAACGGGCAAGCACCAAGTACTTGAGCAACGGTGCTATGGGGGAAAAGGGGGAACAATTGACGGGGAGGAATTCAGGGCCGGAAAAATGCAGGGAAAGGCACGAAGCGGGCACCCAATTTTCAGCGCATCCGAGATTGGGACCAAGCGAGAACGTGAGGGTAAGTAATTCAATGTGAAAGCCCTGAGGTTCAGATCCTAGCGCCCGCGAAGGGAGGGCCAGGGGTGGAAACAATGGAAATCTGATTTATGGTGGCCCCTAGTCATCAAGGACGCACAGAAAGGCAAATTGAGACCAAGAAGTTGAGTATTTCAGTCGAAAAGAAGAGCCTGATTCTGAGAACCGGCAAGGGAAGTGCCAGGGGAAGCGGAAGCACGAAAGCGGGCACCAGATTTAGAGCAGTTGCTGAACGTTGAGCAAGCGAGGAGGGAGGGATTGAGAGTCAGGGTAATATTTTCTGTCTTGAGGATCATTAGCGTATTCAGAATGAGCCAGAAGGAAAGCAGTTACCAAGAGGCAAGGGTGGCAGGGCCAGCAGGGCGCAATCATTGTGGTAGGGAGGAGAAGGCCTGGGATGCTAATAGATGTAAATATCAATAATCAGTGCACTGGATCCATTTGATGCGACATCACGCTGGGGGCAAAAGCCAACTCACCCGGGATTCACATGAGTTTCACTCATGTGGTCCGGAGGTGGTTGGCAGCCAAACAAAGCTGATGTCACAGTTTGACAATTGTTCTTTGCTAGACAAAAGACACACAAAGAATAGACAAAGGACGGACAAAGGGCAGGACAGGATTCCCGGGTGCTGGGAATCCTGACCTGCCCTTTGTCTGTCCTTTGTCTATTCTTTGTCCCTCCTTTGTCTGATCAAGACCAATTGTCAAACTGTCACACATCTTTTGTTTGGTAGATCGTTACCTCCAGACCACATGAGTGAAATGCATGTGAATCCTGGGTGAGTTGGCTTTTGCCCCCAGTGTCAAGCACCTGTTTTGTGAGCCACATGCACCGCCGCCGCAACGAGCGGTATTCCGCCTGGGCGGAATACACCTGAAAAGGTAAGCTGTGGGGGTGATATAGTGTCCACAACTATGGGACATGATATATCGATACACATGCATACCTAAAAGAGGAAACTCTCAAACCTGTTAAATGTGAGGTATAAAGGTAAGCTTTCCATGGTGATTTCAGCTGGTTAGAAAGTTGCTCTTTCAAGCGGACAGAAAGTGTCGTGGAATGAATTAATTTAATCACGGATTTCAATCAGTCAGAAAGTTTAACAATCCTCAGCGTTTTCAGACATGTTGAAAGAACTTCCTTCCTTGAAGAGTGGATGTATCTCTTTCAACCTGTCTGAAACTGACATCGGAAGTCAATCTTTACCTCTTTATGGAGTTTAGTTCTTTAAACCTGTTGATCTTTTACTGTTTGGGTAATGAACTTCTTTGAAACTGACATGGGAAGGTGAACTTTAACTCTTTGGAGAATGATATTCTTTCAACGTATCTGAAAACGCGGCAGAAAGTTGAACTTTTCAACTGATTGAAACCTGTGATTAAATTAATTCATTCTACTGCACTTTCTGTCGAAATGAAAGAACAACTTTCTGACCATCTGAAATCACCTTCGAAAGTTCATCTTCATGCCTTCCATTTAACAGGTCGGAGAGTTTCCTCTTCTAGGTGTCATGGGACAAGCCCGGGGCGTTGATATAATATAGAGCCGCCTAAACGCTGGGTGCTCGATTCGAAGACAGAGAAAGAACGACACGTGACCACCCGGTGGCAAGTGTGAAGCTGAAACACACCCAAAACTTCATCAATCGCTTCCATATTGGAATAGCAAGTGGATTAACAAGCCAGACTTGATAATCTCTAAATTTCCGACCAGATTCTATGTTTTGAATGAGTTTGAGCACATTTTGTGCATTCCAATGTTCTCGGATACGTGTAGGATTTGTCCTTGTTTACAGACAATTTCTGGCCTTTAGTGGATAATTGCTCGCTTCGCTCGCAATCAAAACCCCAGATATGCCTGGATTATGAGTGTCACGGAGGGTGCTACTCACTTGCAGACAAAGAGGACATTAAGTGTTTCTTGGAAACCCTATTTGCTTATGCTTTCTACTTAAAAAAAATAGATTATGTCCTGTTAACCAGTATAACAAAGCCATCAAAGGAGTCTTTGTCCCGCTGATCACACCTCCCAGCCACCTCCAGAGCACATGAGTTGGCCTTTGCCCCCGGTGTAATCACACCATAATTTTGACCCGGAATTTATTATGGACCATCGTCAGAGGTCCCATTCCCTCCCCCACACAACTTGTGGTAGGTTGTGATCTACTGTCTTGTATGTCACAAGTGGCCAACTGCCTAGTCCATTATATTACATAAGCACTCAAAAATAAAATAAAAAGAATGTCCGTGGTGCTGAATTGGATCCATCGGAAGAGAAACCAAAGAAGGATGGAGCGGTTACGCGGATAGCTCAATTCCCTGCGGTTATACAACTAGGAACAAGAAAACCCACATGGCGCGGCGATCACCGAAACACATCAAGTCGCCCGACTTGGAGATCACCGCGAACAGTCTGTGTCGGTCAGGTTCAATTTTGTAGAGGTTGAATTGAATCCTGTGGAATTCTCTTGGTTTCACATTTGTAATATTGTTCATGCTTCGATTTTTAGGTAAATCTCCCCTCGTACTGGGGAGGTAGTCTCGGACCATCCTCTCATGACATCCCGTTCCGGGAATCCTGTCATGAGAGTCTGGGCCTATCTTGGCTAAATCAGAACACTAATGTGTTATGAATTTTCGGATTTTTGGGTGCTCGTTTGACTATCTATGGGACACCTATGGAGAAAGTTAGGAGACAATGTTTTTAAATATTTGAATCAAACATGTTCTGCTTCTTCCGAATGGTTTCAATCCCCACAGGAAGTGTAGGGCAGCCTTCGAAATTTGGCAGAGAGCGATGGTGTGGCAGTGCTACCGGTGACTTAGCGGAACAGACATCCTCTTTCTTGGGATTCATGAACCCTCTGGTGCAATTATGAGTTGGCAGAAAAGTTTCTTCAACAAGTTTAAACAGATCTCCCTGCAAGTTTTCAAATGAGTTAGGTTAGAAATGCCAAAATAAATAAATACGGGAAATGCCAGAAAACACCGGGATTTTGATAGCACAGTAGTGTTCTGATTTAGCCGAGATAGACCCAGACTCTCATGACAGGGTTCCCGGAATGGGATGTCATGAGAGGATGGTCCAAGACTACTGGGGAGGGTCAGTACTGTAGGGATAATTCTAATGAGAAACCTGGGTTCTCAGAGAAACCCCTCCAATATTTGTTGTGTTCATGGACACCCGGGTTTCTCGAGAAACCCCCGCCGGCCGGTGGCCCCGTAAGGTGCCGGGTCGACTGGTAAAAATAGACTCTGCCACGAGTACTGCACGGTGAATTTGTCCGCTCGGACCAGCTCAAGGCACAATTTCGGAGGTTGGACCGAGCCTTCCACCACTCGTAAAAATATTGTGCCCACAGCTGAATGTAAGGGATAACCTCACGAAATAAATTGATATGCGCACTAGGGAATTGTGGCAGTCAGCAAATATTATTCAATGGGCGCAGTTACATGGGGCAATGAGACACATTTGGGTGTTTGCTGAGAGCAGGGCTGTGGGCCGCAAGTTCCGGTATGAGGTGTTCAGGGTCGGGAGCACTGTGTTCAGATGGTCACATAGCAAATTAACCGAGGTATAATTGCAATATAATGTGGCGAAAGCTACGTGAAGTAAAGCAAGAGGTGGAATACAATTCTCAAGTACAATCTGCTTAAAATTTTAGTGTGCCTCCATGTTGAGGGAAATAAAGGATACATAGATTGTCATTACACAGAGATTGGGTTTCGGCTTTAAATAATTGGCGGGAGGTAAGCGTTCAGATTAAGCGGCTATGTTGACGGCGCGCAGAAGCGGAAGCGGTGCAACCGTCCGGATGACACGCGCGCAGATCCGGACATTTGGACCGAGGCCGAAAATCATCGGTGGTTTCGGAGGGGTTGCGCATTAGAAACTTCCAAGATTTCTCTGATGCCCGGGGGTTCCCTGAGAAACCGGGTTTCTCATTAGAATTATCCGGTCAGTAGGGGAAATAGTGACGGTCTCTCAGTGATATTATCCCTCAACCTTTGGGTAGACTCCCACCCCACTCCAGGTAGGAATATTCGGACATGGTGCAATGGATAGCACAGCTTCGGATATCGCCCTGATGGTCCGGGACGGAAGCAGACCGAGGTTCAATTCCTCGTGTCCTCCATTTTTTATTCAATAAAATCCAGATTGTATGGGCATTCAATTGCATCGCCCTCTTCTGCGGTACTGCGACGAGTTTCTGGTCTCGAATGAGTAGTCCGAAATCATGGCAATATGTTTCCCATAAATCCATGCTCTTTTCGCCGAAAGGCTACTGCTCATCTGTGAATACCTTCCGCCGAAACCGCAGGACTGTTACCTGGAACAACGGCATCCGTATCACCCGCGTCCCGACAAACGAAAACCCATGCTTCTCATACAGCTTCCGCGGTCCGGGCTGGAATTCCGTTGTCTCGAGCTCCAAGGTTTCCAGCAGCGGGGCCAGACTCTGCGCGTGCGCGATCACGGCGCTGATGAGGAGGGAGCCTATCCCGCGCCGGCGGAGGCGCATTGAGACGATCATGCGCCGGAGCTCGGCCGAGGAAGGGTCTGTGTTTGCGTGGTAATCTGCCGATGGCATTCAACTGAACAGTCCCGAACTGACGAAGGACAGTCACGAACCGGCGCCTACATATCCGACGACCTCCGAGGTTTTCTGGTTGGGTGACTCGATGGCGGCGACCCAGAAGCCGCCCGGGCCCTGTGGTGGAAATGGCTGCACATCATTGAGCGGGAGAGGCACCTCATACGATTTTGGAATATTTGCCATGTCGGTCTTGCGCGCGGAAGCGCAGAAGTCGAGGAACATCTTTGTAATGGATCTTCGCACGCAAATGAAGAGGGTGGCAGCCGCAAGACACAGCGCAGCGCCGCCGATGCGGAAGATGTAATTTTGGCGCATGAAACACGCGGCGCCGAGGCCAAAGCCCGTGTATGCTAGGCATGAAATGGGACTGGAGAGATTCCTACGTAAAGCGACGTTACGGGGAGATTCAGCTGAAATTGAAATTTAGTATCGAAAAATCAGATACGGTTCTCGACGCACGTCCATAGACAAGGCCCTCTATAAGCATCGCGTGCACCTGCGCGGCGTCCCTGCATTGAAATTGGCGAATGATAATATCACCTTCCGAGCGGGGTACAACCACATCCAAAGGCCGCGTCTTCTCGGCCGCCATGAGGAGATTTTTTCTGGTCCAACTTCGTCGTTCGACTCAAGTTGGCTTATAAACCTTTTGCAAAAGGTACGGATCTGGGGATCAGTGACTCACCGCATGATGTCGGCCGAAGCAGGCAGTGCCCGAATCAAGCAATGAGGCGATCCGAAAAGAGGGGTTGTGCAACAAAGAAATTGGGAAACCAACCCGCCAGCGCGACAACTTGAAGCGGGGTCCAATAGGGATGGATAGCGGAGGCAAGACGTCTGATCAGCCGCTCACTGCCAAATATCACCCAAACATCACTAGCACAGCATTGACTCTTGCCACGAAACCACCATGATCGTACTAGTACTGAGCGTCATCGTCGAGATCTGAAGATCAACCTCGTTTACTGAAGCCCGTCTCTAGACATTCGGGTCTTGCAACATTTCGCCCCCAAACATCACGTTTGTAAATATTGAGTATGCTGATCAATATTAGGCTCAGTCATTCAACTAATACTACTATCCAAGCGCAGACATTACCTCTGGTAGGTCCAACCGCCTCGGAACTTGAATGGAGTTTTTGGAACGCGAGGCCGTGGCCCCCGGTTCGGAACTACCCCCAAGATTTGGTCCGCAGTCTTCGATCACCTCCCCCGCTGGTCCCTCCTCAACGTCCGATTCGTATCCTCTTCATTCCATGACCTCTCCACCTCTCACGTCTACGGAGAACTTAATTTCCGTCCCAGTGTATATCTCGAAGGCAACACATGTGGGATCGCCCTCGACCGGACACTCGAGCGGCTCGCCTTCTGGTCCTCCGAAAAAATCGCGCCCCACGTCCACACATGCAGTATTGTACTCCACAAAGGGGATGTCGTTCCGACCTCGGAATCACCGCTCGTGAATGCCTTCTTCCAGGCCGTTTCGGAGTTCACGAATCTGCGCGTTCTTTCCTGCAAATTATCCGTCTGGCACGGGGAATTGCCCGCTCTTCCCATGGAAATCCTACCGTATTTGAGGAAGCTCCCAATCCACGGCGGGCCCTTGTCCCGTCCAGCCACACCGACAGTCATGCGCCTCAGGATCCCGCACCTGGTTTATACGGGCATCTCCTTGGGTCGTCAACCAACTCCTTCGTGCCTTTCTATGCTCGAACCGATGAAGCTTCACTCTCTGGAACTCGCCGGCAGTCACCGCGGCCTCGCGCACTTCCTCGCGGACAAACGCGAAATCGCGTCGTTCGAGAATCTGCGCACTCTCCATAGCCTTTGCGGATAACGCAGATTTCACCCGCATCCACGAGCGCATCGCCCCATTCCCCGCGGTCCGCGAGCTCATCCTTGATGTGAAAGGGACCTGCACTGCAGATTCCATCCCTGCGACCCCACTCGCCCCGGAGCTCTGCCGATACAAGGGCCCCGCGGCACTGCTGCCGCTTGTCCTTCCGGGATGCGACCCGGGCATCTGTCGATAACGCGCGGCAGCACCATCGAGTCGATGGGCATCCTGTCACATGCGGACTCCAGGTGTCTCGTTTTGGTGAAGTCCCTCTCCATACGCATCAAATTCTTCGCGGATCTGTGCGACGGCACGCCGCTCCCCGCGCTCCTCGCGCTCTTCCCCTGCCTCTCTCGGCTGGCGATCCACGTATCGTCCGATGACGGGATCACGGACCTTACATTTGGACCAGATACCGCGTCTGTGAGTATCCTATCTTTGCGCTCAATTGAGACCAAGCGTTGCTCACAAAATTCCAGCACATATGTGATCCTGTGTGTCCCGCCCGCCCTTAAAAGTGTCGTATTCCTGTGGCGATTGGGACGGAGTCGGGAAGTCGAAAACGTCCCCGACATCAAGGACTTGAAAGCCAGGTTGAGACCCGTGGCTCCAGGCCTGGAGGATGTCTCGCTTTCCAGGCTTTCTCCGGGGCTTTGGAGAAGGTATCACGAAATTAACTTGTTTGCAGGGTGCGCTGGGCAATCAAAAATATTCTAGACCCTTGCGGACAATCGTGTGTGGGAGTACGCTGGTGAAGATATGGATAGGAAATGACACTGCGGTAATTGGAGCACTGCTCATCGCCCTCATCAAGGTGCCGCACATGTCCTCGGGGTACGGAAAAACAACGGTAGTCTGAGCAGGGGGGTTAGTGTTGGAGGAATATGCCTGAAGCAGTGGGTCTGCACCCGAATATTCTCGTACCTTCTATTCCTTTTATGGACTTACATCGTAGATACATGTAGAACCTTCTAGATATTATTGTAGCTATAAAAGCCAGCAATGTACAGCTGCTGGGGCATCTGTTTGCCCTAAAGCAAGCCTTTCTAACCATCCAGTGCTATTGCAAACTTACTCCCTTACCACCTAATCATCCTCTTCTTCCCACATTGATTCTCAACAGTTAGGCGAGTGAAGGAACAGGTTCGTACCATGTTACTCCCCTGATTTGTACATGCCTCCAGTGCTGGTATTAATTGTCCACGTGCTTGTTCCTGAGCAGATTGTCGACGTCGTCCCAAATAATGACACGCTCGGGGTTGATAAAGGGGAGGCCAAGCACTAGTCCCGAGGTGGAGTCCGATGAATGTATTGTATAAGGATAAAAATGAGTCGGTAATACTCGGCGTCTTTTTCAGAATCCCACACTGGTTGAACATTTCACATTTTTGAGTGAAAAAATTGATAAAAAATGTCGTTCAATTTATAGCCATTTTTCACCGAAAAAAGAAGTGAAAAATTTAAAACATTTTCACCACTTTTTTGACTTGAAATCAAAGTGAAAAATGTGAAACAAATTTTGTGATGTTGTTAAGATGTTTCTTTTGCATTTTTTGACAGAACTCAAGGTGAAAATGATGGTGAAAAAATCAAAAGTTTTTTCACTAATTTTTTCAGCAGAAATCAAAGTGAAAAATGTGAAACAAAGTTGGTCATATTGTTAAGATGTTTGTTTCACATTTTTGACTGAAACTCAAGGTGAAAAATGCGAAATATCACTTGTTGAACATTTCAATTTTTTGAGTGAAAAAATTCATAAAAATGTTATTCAATTTATTGGCATTTTTTCACCGAAAAAAGAAGTGAAAAATTCAAAACATTTTTCACCACTTTTTGAGTTGAAATCAAAGTGAAAAATGTGAAATAAAGTTTGTGATGTTGCAAAGATGTTTCTTTTGCATTTTTTGACTGAACTCACGGTGAAAATGAAGGTGAAAAAATCAAAAGTTTTTTCACTAACTTTTTCACCAGAAATCAAAGGGAAAAATGTGAAACAAAGTTGGTCATATTGTCAAGATGTTTGTTTCACATTTTTTGACTGAAACTCTAGGTGAAAAATGCGAAACATCACTAGTTGAACATTTCAAATTTTTGAGTGAAAAAATTGATAAAAATGTCTTCAATTTATTGGCATTTTTTCACTGCAAAAAAGAAGTGAAAATTTTAAAACATTTTTCACCACTTTTGTGAGTTGAAATCAAAGTGAAAAATGTGAAACAAACCTCATGTTTTTCTTCGAACTAGTGATACCATTAATTCATACACATTTCAAGGTAAAAACAAAGGTGGAAAAATGAACAGTTTTTTGACCAGTTGTTTCACTAGAAATAGAAGCAAAAAATGCAAAACAAACAGTGGGGGCAAAAGCTAACTCACCCAGAATTCACATGTGTTTCACTCATGTGTTCCGAAGGTGGTTGGCAGCTAAACAAAGCCGATATCACAGTCCATCAATTGTTCTTTGCCAGACAAAATACACACAAAGAATAGACAAAGGACAGACAAAGGAGCTTGGAAATCCTGTGGCCCTTTGTCCTTTGTCCTTTGTCCTTTGTCCTTTGTCCTTTGTCCTTTGTCCTTTGTCCTTTGTCCTTTGTCCTTGGTCTTAAAACAGCCATTTTGCTTGATTTTTAGGCCGGATTTTAAATCCGTGAGGGAACGGCAGATGACATGGGCCCAAGCACACCAGAAATGGATGCAG